AGAGGGCGTCGCTTCATTGAGTAATTGTGGCAATAAGTTTACCGGACCCCTGCGCAATTTATAAGCCCCACATGTAGATCATTTGCATCTATCTTACTGGTGGAAGATACGAGTCCTGTCGCTCATGGTAGGCGAAGAAAGGCACCCGATCATGCAATGAAGTAAGTTGTGTTGTAGCCAAGGCAGTGAGACACACCACAGACCTGATCGTCTGGCGTCACCCAGATAATCGCCGAGTGATGCGTGTGATTCGCGCACAGCACCGTACTCTTCGAATCGACCGCGAACTGGTGGAACATCAAAAATTGAGTGCAAACGACGCAACATCAGGCGGGTTGTCCCAGGGCGGTGTGTCAGAAGTGCATCAATCACTTCAGGATCCAAATGCAGGTATGGAAGGTCCATTCCCTTCCAGATGACCTGTAAGATCTGGAGGTTCTCTGTTGACTGTGGCACGAGAGAGAGAATCTCCGTATACAAATCATCCAGTGGGCAGTATTCTGCGGATCCAGGCTCAAGACACGGTCGAGTTGATCTTCGGGATAAAAATATTCGTCGCTGACGAAGCGGATGACAGTGGTTGCATATATGAAAATGCCGGAGGACTTTTGCACCAGATGCTCAATTGCATCGGGTGAAGGCCAAGAATCTCCGAGAGGTATTCCCCTGTTTTGGAATGTCGAATGGATTGTGGAGAATTTGTCCCGAAGAAAGGTTCTGATATCTTCGTACGCTGAGCGATCGGCAGAGAGTACCAGAGAACGAGATAAGCCCGATGTCTGCTCCGCATCGAGCTGCTCCCGCAGATGCGGCTCTGGGCGACTACATATCAACAGGTGTATCGGCAGCTGTTTTTCGCGAATAGCGCCGAAGAACAGGCAAATTTTTTTTTCTTGAATTCTGTGGTCGTCGCATTCATCTAGGCCATCCACCACGATGACGGGGAGGAATCCCAGGGGTATTGTTTGTTGAAATGGTTCGAGAATAAGCTGCCGGAACTGCAGAGACATCGCACGCCCCCCCACCAGTTTGTCCGCCTCGACCGCCTGCTGAATGGGGACAGAGAGTCCGGGTATTGCAGTCGCAAGTTGGTACGCAATGGTCGGGAATAAACCATCCCATGTTCCTCGCTTATGATGCCCGCGTTTGAAGAAAAATGATGCCCCCAGTCGACCTTGTGTCTGAGATTCCCCAGCAAACATTTGTGCAATTGCAGACTTCCCAATCCCCGCCGACCCATTGAGCCACATCACGGGACTCTCGGTGGCAGCATGGCTGGACCAAGTGTTCAGCTGGTCCAATACAGCAGTCCGTGTCGCCGGGTGGCAAGCTGGCTCTGGGAAACGTTCGCCTGAATCGTGCAGGGCTTCCACGACAACTCTGCGAGACAGTATGTCCAGTCCTGTTATTCACAGGTCGCATCAGTGCATTAGATATGAGAGCGAGACTAACACACCTGACTCTCCGTGCGAAGTCACATTCAGCTGTGTCATGTTTCCCGCTACACTGTTGAAAGTTCTGGGAGGATTGCGGGGAAGAACTGGTGGTGGCGGTTCTGAACCAGCATAATGGGAGCTTGTAAACTCAGAGGAGCGTTGAAATTGTCCTGGGTTCAAATCTGCGATCGACAGAGAGCCATCACCGATATCTGGCGGACCAACATAGTGGATCCCCGTCTGTACACCCGCTCGTATATTGTTCAAGAAGTTTCCACTTGGGTTAGGTGATATCTCTGGGTGATAGCGGTTCCCCCTGTTCGCGATATCTGAATCATATACATTTGAGGACCTCGCGTACCGGGAATTGGGCTTGACCTCACCGTAAGGGCGGAAGTTGGAATGTCCCCTGGATCCTCGAATCACGCCAGTGGACCCGTTGATGCATCGATCCAGACATTATCTCAGCATTGTTTGAGATTCATCATCGATGAAAACATACCTCCGACCCCTCCACCAAGTGTTGGTCCACTGGCGCATTCACATGGACAACTTGTGAATTAAACACCTGTGTCATGTTGCCAGAGACATTGTTGAAGTTCCCCCCACTAATATGAGTGTTATCGAGGGCGAAAGGCATCCTATGTGGTGGAGGAAGTCCGAAGAAGACGAGAGGTGGGCGCCTATGGACAGGGCAGTGCTCCGGGTGCAATCGACGATAAGCTTCTGGAGGTTCTCATGCCAACTGCTGTGACAACCGCGGAACGTATATTGTCAGTTCACTTCCATTGGGGATCACGAGTCTGTCCCTGACATCTCCGATCTATCCCGGGCCCACTCAAGCCTACCCCAGGGTTAGATATCGCACAATGGTTCTAAATTTTCCCTGTAAAGGACAGGGAGCAAAACATAAGTGCTTCCATCCTCTGCACATGGAGAAATTCTCTGAATCCCCGGACACCCCGCCCATTGAGTCCCCAAATTGCGACAGATCTAGACCTCAGTTGCTGCCTGTGGGCTGCTGCTCGAGTGCCGTGGAAGTCATGTATAATGTAACCTGAAATGAATATAAAGTGTCCGGAGTGCGCTTCAATCCATGCAATACCGTGCTCACGATGGCTTGAACGTTAAAGTACGGGAAATGTGGCGGTGCATGCCGGGCCGCACGAGATCAGTGATTGATGATGTCATCATTTACCCTCTTCTTTGCCTCTTGCTCACTCGTGCCGTTCGCCGTTGCTCGCGGGTCCTTGACAACGCCACCGGCGCACCCTCCGGCCTCCACGACGACGCTCGCCGATCATACCGTCGAAAAGTCGTCAATAGGTCACCGTGACGCGAGGCAGTGCCGAACGAACTTTTCAAGGAAGTTCGACGATTTTGGTAAAGCCCTCCTCGCAGTATCTTACCGGAAGCCCCAGGGTTTCCTTCTCCCAATGGCATTGAATCCACGACCGCGCATCTGGGACTGGAGGTTTCTGCGCAATGTACGATTGGTCGGCCCACATGTCCTGTTTACTCGACGCCTGTTCCCGCCACGAACACGCGATAACTTCGTCACGTCCAGCCTCCGCACACGAAGCATCCCGCCCTTCAAGACCCGCCTCCCGCTCTGACATCGGTGTGCCTCTTCTCCAAGATGCACCAATGAGGCACCGCGCCCGCCATCAGCTTATCCCTCCTGTCATTCTCAGGCCAGCCCCACTCCGCCCGTGTGTCCATCTGCGCCCATCATCCGCGCGCATGTCACCGCATCTCTCCCTGTACGAGAACATTATCTCAATCCACCCGCTCTAGACTCCTCCCGCCACCGTCCAGCGCCCAAATGCTCACCATCTACCACCTGACATACTGCGAACGTCATCGCTATACGGCTTTCTCTGGGTGATGTTGCGAGGATCTTCTTCCTTCACCCACTTCCAGTCTGCCCGCTCCGCTCCACGTCTAGTTCCTCCGCTCAGAATCGACACGCGTCTTGCCTGCGCCCACACAGCCCGTATCCATCCATCATATAAAAACGAGGCTCCCTAAAACCCGACACAGCGACACGGCGCCAGACCTTCAGCAATTCCGACACAGCTCAAGAAATACGACACACCCACCTGATTCCCATTAATTCCGACACATCCGCAGCTTTCCACACCAGAGTCATTCCCTTGTACGCTCTTCAAGTTGATCAAGGAATTTGAACGACGTATAAATATGGTCATCTGTGGGCCTGACACTCCATGCCTTGGGCTTGCGCTTCGGACTAAGGGGTGTTGTTAGACCAGGAGGTGGTAAGAGCATGTGCTACTCACCGTTTTCTTTCGTAGACTGATGGCTCGGGTGCCACAGCGGCTTCTGTCTTCTTGGATTTTGGCGCGGGAGCATCCTCATGTGTGTTGGATGCCTCTCGCTTCCTTGAAGAGCGACGAGTGGGAGAAGGGGGAATGGGAGAAGGTGCGGATGTGGGAACTAACAGTGAGGTTAGACTGTTGTTGCGGCTGAGTTAACAGAACCCTCACCAGAGACGACTAAAGGGACAACAATGTCCGAGTCACCCATGGACATTACTTCACCGTCGACATCAAGGTTCCCGGATTCGGATTGCGATACCTCACTTGCATCTAGATCGTTCTGCTGCTCCAACGCATCCGGTTGAACGTCTAGTTCAACGGGTGCTTCGGGGGAAATGAATATATTGAGAAAGTATCAGTGAGCGCCACATACCTTCCAGCGGGATTATTCCATCCAGCTCCATCTCGTCTACAGTCATCTTCTTCTTCTTCGACTGCTGGGGCCGGCCCGTGGCAACTTTAGCTGTCACCAATGAAAGTGAATACGTGATCGCGGGAACAGAGACGAGGACGAGTACCTAGAGATTTCGACTTGCTTTTCTGGGTTACACGAACAACGCCGGATGAGCTAGTCTGTATTCTGCTCAGATTGATCTGAAACGTGGAGAAATTAGCTCGCCTTCGCCTCCGCCATGAGTATGGTAAGCTCGGCCTTGGGCGGGCCTATGGCTTAGTTCGTCTGTCTTTCCGGTCCGCTCATTTCCCGCGGGTACTCCTCGATTGCGCTCGGGGTTTTCTACCTCTCCGACGCTTGCTCGCGCGCGCATTACCTGTGTTCCGACACTTTACTCTCTACGGCCAATGCTTTGCAGTAATTCCCTGGAATGCCGTTTGATCCAAGCGGATCTGCTGTTCCGATCCGAATGCGCGTCCTCCCTCTGTTACTTTCGCCCCCTGCTACCGATAGAAGCGCCGCCTTCCCCCGCCCCAATGCCCGGACGACATTTGCATGAGCGAGGCCATGCGCGAACGAATGTTGCTGAGGCCACGCGTGCTGCAGCAGGTCGTATTCATGCCTACGGTGCGTAGTTCGGAGCCTGCCTTATGCAATGCTACCGCTCAGTGATGGCTTCGGAGACAGAGGGGCTCGACGAGGTACCAGTTGAAGCCCTCCATTATCCGCTGTTCCTCGTGCTTGAAACTCTTAATCCCGTCTCGAGCACCTTGATAACGGTGCGTTCATGTACTCAGCCTCAATCACCAGGGTGCTGTTCAGGGTATATAAGCCCCCATGGACGAATGGGATGTTGCCCGCATAATCTGCCGCCGCGGTCCAGATTTCAATGCGGGGGGTGGAGGTTCGAATCCTCCTGGGGGCATGAGTAATTTCGTGCGGGTTTTTTTGTTTCTTATACACTGTGGTCGCTCAATCAAGCTCAACCCTCGCTGTACTAGGTGTTGCATGAAAACATACTAATCTGTATTTATCAGGGCAAGGCAAGAAATAATGGGTTCACCCTGTGGGATATCCGAACACCTAACAGCCCTCGTAGACAAAAGCACATTACCCGCATTCTATTAGAGAAGAGGATCTGGGTTGAGCGGGAGGTAGGGGTTCGAATCCTCCCGACGGCGATCAGAGCGTGAGCAATGTTTTTTGTTCCTTTAATTCACTGGTCTTCGTTTCCGTCCAGCGGTGAGTAAAATGTGTCCAGAGGATATTCATTGAATGTATCCCCTTTGCACATGGCGCTAGCTATTACTCCGAGTTCGCAAGCGCTTGGACATCTGAGTTGGGAACATCGATCTTCCAATACACTACGCGTCTATATTCCATCGATGTGATTCAGAGTACGGGAAGTGATGCAGACCCCGTAGACGAAGCGCCGTTGCGCTGTCCGTGCTTTGGCGTATTTCCATGATAGATGGGGGTTCGAATCCTCCTCGGCCATTCACCAGCTGGCACAATCTTTCCAGCGCAGCAAAAGACATGCTTAACCCTTGGACCACCTCCACCAGAAGGAAATCTCCCATCATAGTAGAAGGAGGGTGGTTACCTCAGCGGACCGCCACTCGAACGCTTAGGCACTCGAAAAACCCTTGATGCGGTGGAGGATCGAGGGGAGTGGAAGAATGCAGGGGTTGCCCCTCTCGATGTCAGACATTTCGGACGAGGTTGGCGACTCCTGACATTGAAAGTGAAAGTACTGTTATTGTCGCGATTTGAACGTGGGATGGGCCTGATGGGCTGCGGGCTGCGCGCAATATAGACCTATGCTAGCCGCCGCCGCGCGCGCCGCGAACCCCTCGAATGGACCCGGGCATCGCGCCGCTCGCCGAGTGTAGACCAGGTGCGCGCCTCTCACGAGCGGCGTGGTGGTCCCGCCAAATGTGCAGAGCGCAATACCTAGAAGCAGACAACGTGGCAACGCATAGCACGTGCCCTGCCGTGCGCCGCTCGCCAATGTGCCATGTCCGGGTGTTTCTGCACATAACCTTGCGCCGACGGCAAGCCGTCCCCACTGCACCTATTTACCGTGAATTCGGGGCCTCTTGTGCCATTCAGGGCATCGCTTCAATGGTTGGGACGCGGGCGTCCAGAAGGGAGCTGTATCCGCGCATGCACGCCGTGAGTATGGCTGCTTCGGCGCCGAGGGCCGTGCGCGACGTACGTTTTGAGCAAGAAGAGTGCCATGCGCACGTTCTCTCGAGCACTGTGACTGAATCAAACTGAGAACTCGTGCCTCGTTGGTTATAACAGATGACCGAACTCGAAGCCTGAAGGGCGGAAACAGTTTCTTTCTTTGAACATTCACTTCACTTGAATACTTGGTCTCGGACAAGGGGCGTCCAGTCAAGCGCCATCAAAGATCAACCCTTTGCAGTATGTTGGTGTTTGTCACCGGCATTGATCTCGCTGATGCGGTCACGTGTAAGCGCGCGTGCGATTCTTCGTGTTATCGGTTGCTCTCTTCATGTCTGAAGCATTTTGGGTGGTAGATTAATCCAGAATAATACATTTGCATATGTACTCTACTTTGTTTAGATATATGGGAGTCAGAGCCGGTAGTAGAGTGGGTCCCAGACCTTTTTCTTGGCCGTTGTTCGGGACCTCCGTGCGGGGTTTCATCCATATCCGACTCCTGTGCCCTTCCAAACGGTAGGTGGTTGTGCTGGCCTGACATTGATGATCTCTCCGCACAAATTGCAGGTGACCTCGTGGGTCTTCTTCTCGTCGTCGTAATGTGTCTGGAATTTTGCGCCATCACTTAATTGACGTTCCCGTACTCATATTATTTACGTCCATCAATTATATGTTTGGCGCGGCCTCGCGTTTCCCAAATGTGCGCTTACACGTGACCGGCTCAGCGGGATCAATGCCGTTGACAAACACCAACATACTGCAAAAGGTTGATCTTTGATGGCGCTTGACTGGACGCCCCTTGGTCTCGGATGTCCGAGATGCCCGACAGCAAATTAAACTCGGTATACTAGTGGATTAGTACATGCGCGAAAATGATTTGTCGATATGTATTAATGGATCCACTTGAGATACAATGAACGAAAAAATGAAGGACCGTCGAATAGAAGAAGAAGAAAGAATAAACGGACTGGCAACGCCTCCTGTGGGAGTCGACCCACCTCGCCTCTGATTCCAAGGTGATTGCCACAGACTCTCACCCCCATTCTGTTTTCAATCGGAGGTTATGCGCACTCGCGCAGTCGTTCATACTATCTATTGCTTCGGCCATTCAAACTAATTACACTTATTTCTGCTTCACTACATTTCTTTCCGCTCCTTCGCTGCTATTCTGCCGCATCCATATAAGGAGCATGCACTTCTTGGAATAAAAATGTGTCTAACTTACCATAGCCTCAAAGCGAACCAACAATAGACACTTTAGGGGCAGCACCCAGCACAGTCACCGGAGCAGAACTGTATCAGGTGGAAGTCAGTGCTCGGTCGAGGGCGACGGAGAAAAAATCAACTTACGTCAGGGCAACCGCAGCCAGGGGGGTCCTCGCAGCACTACATACATGACATTGAGCCTGTGGGGAGAAAACAACGGGGAGACCAAAGAAAAACAACTTACGTCTTGGCGAGAAACAAGCTCACCCCTCTTATTGACACTATACCCAGGGCTGGCACCAACAGCAACGAACAACGCTGCAAGAGAAAACAGGATAGTGGAGAGACGCATTGTGAACGAGGTTGAGTTTCTAGGTGAAGATTTCAGTTGGGGTATTTAATGCGCCATGTACGAGGACTTTTATACTCTGTGCTTAGTCAAACATTGCCAAAAGATTGAGGCTTGAGAACAAGGGATGCTCCACCTAATGATCTTACATACGTCACCTAACTGCGCATTAACGTACCTAGGGAGGCAACCACATTCCTCCGGCGGGTGTACCCGTTGATGATTATTTTTTCATATGTCGTCAAACTGCGCATTAGCGTACTTTTGCGGAGCAGAATGACAAGGATGCTCCACCTAATTGATTCGTGCATAGAACATTCAAAAGTAAAATGCCTACTTGAGCGGAACAACAGCATTGAAACACTAAATTAGAATACTTGATGATCCTACTTACTTCGTCTAACTGCGCATTAACGTACTCTTGCGGAGCAGAATGAGACAAGAATGCTCCACCTAGTTCATTCGTGCATAGAACATTGAAACATAAAATGCCCACTTGAGCGGAGCAACAGCATTGAAACACTACGTTAGAATGCTTGATGATCTTACATACTTCGTCTAATTGCGCATTAGTGTACCTAGGGAGGTAACTACCTTACTGCGGCGGCTGTATCCGTTGCTGATCCATTGACACGGGTCCTGGGTTCCTTCCAAGAGATCTGGGCCAATTGCCGCCGTAATCTGCCCTGCCTCGACTGTGTATGGGGCGATACAGAAATGGAAATTAAGACGCGTCTCTAGTTACAGGCCATAATATTGTTCCCTGCCATAATCTGGTGAGTGGGCAGAATTGGAACCCTTGCGCTTCACGCTCAATTGGCATCTTCTCGAGCTTTACCAAATCCCGTCATGCATCATACTTCTCCCGAGTTGTCTTCCTTTACCATCGGGATATCGCAATCCTCGTCCCATTGGCAACTGACTGATATTATTAGGAGGTTGTCGTGAACAAGGTTGCCGTGAAAGCGGCCAGAACACTTGCCCTTCGCGCTACCGGACCTTTTCCAAATTCTCATCTACGTTACAATTGTGGACCCCCTTCCCGGCGAAACAAGACCATGGGACATTCGGATTGGATACTGGGACTCCAACAAACGACATCTGCTCCACTGCTCCATCCAAAAACTGCTTTCTCCACTCGACTGTCGAGTTGCTATTTATAAAAGTCAAGATGTTCAGGAATCTGAGGCCCGGCGGGGCTGGGTGAAACGAGTTGGAGCAAAAAATGGAGGTAGGGTTTTGTTAAAAATATACCACGGCAAGGAATTCCCGGTGTAGTAGAGGTATGTGGGGCAACTGGCGGAGGTACATTGCGGCGGACAATGGGTAGTACAATTTCGGGAGTACCTTGAGCTTTGGAGCGACAATTGGGGCGCAGGATGGAGGCCGGGTCAAGGGAATTTTCGTAAAAAAAATGGGCGAAGATGAACGAGGTGTGTTGAATCAAACGCAAAAGTTGCAGAATGAAGGCGGTATTTTGAATGTAGGAGCAGGATGAAGGTAAATTTCTTAAAAACTGGGTAAGATGAAGGTGACAAATATTTTGGAATCAAGATGATTTTGCGTTTAGGAGCAGCAATTGGCCAGCAGAATGGAGCACTGCGTTCAGCCCGGATCTAGACGCCGATTGATCTAGCCTCCCGCGAGGCGGCTCTAGCCGAGGCTATTTGTGTCCAGATAAAGCGGGTAGGGCCGACGAGCGGCAGTGCCCGGTAACGTTGGTTGGTTCACCCTCTACTTTACAATAACACTGTACCGCCGGCGAGCGGCACGGCCCGTTACTTAATTTTTGGAATGATGTAAGACTCAATCTATTAACTGAAACTAATGCAGCAATAAGTACTAGTAGTGAATAAGCGAACGAAATACGGGTTTACTAGAGTATGTACAAATAAAGGAGCGTCAGCAGCACAATTCACAGAGCGGTGAGCCAACCCATTAATTGCCTCTTCATCCGCAATTCCTGTGGCCTCGGCCCTCAATGACTTGGGTCTGAAGGTATTAAATTAAATACAGTTGATGATGATGATGATGAATTCAAAATTATTACTGTATGGAGTCAGGTAGACTATGACAGCAGTTCACAATGGGTGTGGTAGGGTAATTTGGGGATTGTTTGAGTACGTTCAACAGGAGGGAGGACAGAAAGCGAAAGTCCGGTGCCGGATAGCCAATCGGAA